GCACCTACTCATGAGCAGGCCTTTCCTCCCAAGGACGACTTGCCTCCATCGGGAACCAGCACCCGCCCGCCTCCCTCCCCCCTCCCCCTCCTGCCTTGTTGCTGGGCTGCCGGCATGCTTATGGCGATGCCCCTGGTCCACCCCTCCTCCCCCAGGGCAGGGGTGCCCAGGAACCCGATGAGGGCCTTTCGTCCACCCCCCCACCCGAGACTTGGCCATTCAGGAGGGCGACGAGTAAACAGAAGAGCAGCAACAATCACGGAAATTTTACAACGGCAGGAGAATCAGTGGGTTGCAAATGAACAATATTTTATGGCTTGGGTGAAAGATTCCCCATATGTTTTGCAATACAGCCTTTTCAGGGGAGTCTGTAATGAAACAGACACTCATGAGAGGAGTTCCCAGAATCCGACCTCCCGTGGCTGCCATGGCTCAGCTGGGCTGTGGGAAGAAACTCGGGAGGCAGGCCTGGCATCTCCAGCGTGGTGGTGGTGACGTCACTTCCCCTGTGATGAGGCAGAAGTGATGTCGTCATCACACCAGGGGAGGGGATGCTCTAATATTCATAAGAACACGAGAGAGGCCAATGTTGGATCAGGCCAAAGGCCCCTCCAGTCCAACACTCTGTGTCACACAGTGGCCAGAAATACCAAGTGCCCTCAGGAGGTCCACCAGTGGGGGCAGGACGCTAGAAGCCCCCCTCCCAATGTTGTCCCCCCCTCCCAAGCACCAAGAGGACAGAGCATCCCTTGCCCCAGAGCCCCTATCTGTACCTTGTGGCTAATAGCCACTGATGGACCTCTGCTCCATAGGCTTATCCAGTTCCCTGAAGACAGGTGGTCTGCTTCCCCCCAGACGGAATTCAGTTACGCACCACAGTCTTCTATACTGGTGGGCTGTGGATTGTTTCTTCACACTCTTGCCTTTTGTTGACATTTGTTTTAATGGTATTAGTATTTTTGTAAACAGCTTTGGGGAGGAATGTGGGACAGGAATATTCCCAAAAAATAAGCAAGCGAGCAAGCAAGCATGGGGAAGGGCGGAGGAATCTCTGCAATGAATCCTGCCTCCCCCTCCCTCCCTGGCTTCCGGCTTCCGACAGCGATGTGCTGGGGGGCACCCCAGTGGAGGTGGCTACGCAGGGACTGTCCTTCGCCCAAACAGTTCTCCATCAAGGAAGAATTCAGGACAACCGAAGGAGGCACGTGCCAACATCCCTCCCCCCCCCCCACTGGCTGTTGGCACCTGACCAGGGGGGTGGACTGGCCCTTCCAACTTCCCCAGCAAGTTTCTGGTGGGGGGCCTCTGTCTGTCCCGGAGGGCGGCTGGAAGAGCCAGGAACAAGCTGAGGCGAGCGGCCCCTGCGGCACGTGAATGATCACCATTGGGGCCAGGGTGTCATGAGACAACAGGCTCAAACGTGTGCGCCTAGCGCCTATGTACGTTTCATAACCTTCATTGAAAGTTCACCAGCTGGTCAGGAAAAGTACATCTCTTTTCTCTCTGACAGCCAGTTAATGCAACTGAAGAAAAAGTAGGATCATTGCCTTTTAATTATTAGTAAACGGCTAAATATAGTCTTTTAAACCTTGCGCCTCTGTATGATCTCATGATTACCTTGAGAACCAATCACATGATCAAGTTACGATTGATCTAGCGTTAGTGACTGTCACCTTAGCTACAAAAAGCGTCACCCAGAGAGCTGATTGGAAGAACCGTGGAAAGTGTCACCAAGAGGCTCCTGGGCACCAGCCGCGCTTCCCAAGGCCTCCCAGAGCATTCCGAGAGTTAATCTGGTTTGCTTTCAAGCTCGTGTATTCAGTTATGTTTGAGAAATATTTCGGAGATGTGATATTCCTCGCACGTGGTTTTTCAGGACTCAGAGGGTTCTAGTGTTGGTGTGTGTTGTTTATCATCTTGCCTAATAAAAAAGAGATATTTCTTTTTCAGTAAAAGATCACTAAGTTGCGGAAAGTCTTGGTCTGGTTTGCTCGCACAAGGCTAGACACAGAACTCACTTATCATTGTTGAGCCGGAAGGATTCAGTTGCCCTTTCGGAGGGCATTCCCTGCATAGGTCCTTTTCCAATCTCTGTGGCCACTTAGAGAAAACAGGTTTCCCGCAAGCTAATGGGTGCAGGCTCTTTAACAGGCTATGGGACGGTTACGTAGTTACACGGGTGCAAGCCAAGAGGCACTTTCAGTGCATGTGGATCACCTGACCGTGCGTGTGTGTGTGTTAATGCCTCCACCCACCTCTGAAGGAAGCCCCGCTTGAGGAGGACTTCGGCTTGCCAAGAGCCAAAGGGCTCCTCTTGGGAAGACAGAAGAGCTGGGGAGGGAGGGAATCAGAAATGGGACTCACAGGCAGGAGGATCAAAGTGGTCTCTCGGAGCAATTCCTTTGCTCTTGCGTCAGTTTGGTGTAGCGGTTAAGTGTGCGGACTCTAATCTGGGAGAACCGGGTTTGATTCCCCACTCCTCCTCCACTTGCACCTGCTGATGTGACCTTGGGTCAGTCACAAGCTCTGGCACAGCTGTCCTTGAAAAAGAGCAATCTGTGTCAGAGCTCTCTCAGCCCCACCCACCTCACAGGGCCTCTGTTGTGGGGAGGGGAAGGGAAAGGAGTTTATAAGCCGCTCTGAGACTCCAAGTGAAAGGCGGGGTATAAATCCAATCTCTTCTTCTTCTTTATTTGTCTTTGCTGGGTTTACCCAGGGTGATTAATGTGTTTTGGTAAAGAAACAGGCCCCATGAGACCCAGAGGGCCACGCCCAGACCCCCCCCCCAGAAGACAAACCTCTTGAGCCACTGCTAAATAGTGGGTTCCATGGATGAGCAGGCTCGAGTCTAGTGATCAGCTCAACTTTATTTGTGATTTCAGCAAGAGCAAGACAAGAACGCAGAGCTGCAGCCCTGTTTAAACAGCATGCAATTGCCACACCCAAACACACCCCACTCCCTGTGACAGGCTGTTTACATGACATTACTCCTAGATTGGTTACTTTCAGAATCCTGGCAGGCTATTGTTCTTGGGCTCCAAGCTCAGCCAGTCTCTGGTGTGACATACCTGGAATGGTTCAGTCCGAATACATAACAGCCACCATCTTCAGCAGGCGCACTGGGGCTGCTTACTCTGCCGCAGATCCAGAAGACTTCGCCCAGCAGGCCCAACAGGCATCCCACGAGGCTATTCTAGGCTGGGAGACTTTCTCCTCCCCCACACACCCCGTGGCCAGTGCTCCCTCTGAGTTAGCTGGCTTACAGTTTTTTAGCCTCCGGCTCACGCATTTTTGTCTTCGCTCAGGAAGGATGGCTCCAGAGCAAACTAATTTATGCAGTAGCCAAATTGCTCGCTCACAACTTTAACGCCGGTAGCTCACAAATTAGACTTTTTGCTCACAAGACTCCACAGCTTAGAGGGAGCATTGCCCATGGCCCCGATCCCAGGCAGGCCAGCACGCACCTGATAAATTGCTGGGAGCTCTGACCCCGCCCCCCACCAGTACATCTTCGGCTGCCCCGTCAAACCTTGCTACCCTTTGCTTTCTTTGGTTGCCACTGTGGCTGGGGGGGCGGGGGGCGGTGTGAGTGCGTGAGAGAGGCCTTTCGCTTTGAGGAGACATAACTTTCCAAGTCAACCTTCTTCTCCAGGCTCCCTGCACCAACTGGGACTGCAGACAACCAAGGGAGATATCTTGCACTTGGCTAGGATGGCAACGCTGGGCGTGGTGTGAATGTGTCGAGTGCTTGGGGAAGGGGCTTCTCTTTGAGTTTACTAGATTATTTTATTTATTTTTTTATTTAACTTTAGATTTACTATACCGCACTAATCCCCGCAGGGGTCTCTGGGCGGTTCACATGTTGTTCTAAGAACTTTGCTGTTCCTACCTAGGGCCACATCTGAAATTGGGGTGGGACTTCCTACCGGCACCCTGGTGGAATATGCTCTTCCTTCTGTTTCTTCTTCTGGCTCGGCTCGGCTTTTTTTTTTTTTTTTTGTTTTTCTTCTCTGGTCTCCGATCTTTTTTCCTTCCCTGGCATCCACAGCAGCCACGACGGCTTTCTCCCTCGGCTCTTCCTCGGCGCTCGGCTTCCTGACGCTCCGGCCGGCTATGTCCATCAGGCCCCGCCTTCTGCCTCCGCGTCATTCATCGAGCGCCTCCAGGGTCCTACTGCTGCTGCCGTCGCCGCTCGGTGCTTCGATGTCTTCCTTGGCCGCCAGGGATCGCTCTGCTTCCTACCGCCGCCAAGCTCTGCCAACACGCCTCTGCCGCCGCCGCTGCCGATCTGCCGCCATCACTCTCTGCTCCGCCATCATTCTCCACATCACACCGCCGTCTGCACAACCACCATACCTCTTTTGTCGTCAGAGGTGGGTGCCCCCTGCCCATCTAAGGGCAGGTACCCATTCGCCTACTCGCCATAGTTGTTGTTGTTAATTGGCTTTTGACCCGCTGGGTTGGCGGGAGCTGGGATAAAGGCCGGGAGCTCACTCCGGCCACGGTGGTATTCGAACCGCCATAGAGGCTGCTCTTAGTTAACGCAGGCGTTTAACTGCAAACACAGGGGCAAACACAGGCCACGCCCTTCCAGTTAGATTAAGCTTGTGCCTGCCAAAAGTCTTCAATTCCGACACAGTGACTTTCTGGATCTTGCATATACCTCAACAAACACATCACAGTCAGACCGGGCTCTGACACGCACGCACACACACAAACACCCCAGCAGGACACCCGTCTGCAGGCGGAGCAGAACCCGGCCCCTCTGCACAGCCTGCAGGATCTGGTGCTGCTGTCCCAAGGATGGGGCTGGCGGTGTCCGGCCACCTCTGTGGGTGGGCATGGAGCTCCCCCCACCTCACCCGCCCGCCCATGGCTACTACTTGCCCGGAGAGGCGGAGGGGATCTCGCTGCCTCACTTGCCCCGTGCTTGGGCCTGTGTCTGGCCTGGCGCAGCTCCCTCCATCCATCCTGCTGCCCGGGGGGAGGAATGCAAAGCAAACCTGGGAGGGAGCTGCTTGGCGGTTGCCTGGCCAAGGCCCAGGGAGGGCGGCTGGGAGCCACGGGGGTCCTCCCCCCTCCCTCCCACGGCTGCCTCTAGCCCGGTCCCCTCCCCCCATCCTGCCAAGCTGCCGCCTGCTCAGCTCCCCCTCCCCCTCCGCTCCGCCCTGGCAGAGTTGGGGGGGGGTGACCTTCTTGGGCCCCAGGGAGGTCAGTGCCGGGCTCCTTCCGGAGACTTTGAGGGGTGACATGATTGAGGTTTATAAGATTATGCATGGGAAAGAGCAGGTAGAGAAAGAAGTCCTTTTCTCCCTTTCTCACAATACAAGAACTCCTTGTGGGAACTCCATGGAATTGCTGAGCGGTCGGGTCAGAACGGATAAGAGGAAGTCCTTCTTCACCCAAAGAGTGATTAACACATGGAATTCACGGCCACAGGAGGTGGTGGCGGCTACAAGCATGGACGGCTTCAAGAGGGAATTAGATAAGCATATGGAGCAGAGGTCCATCAGTGGCTATTAGCCACAAGGTATAGCTAGGGGCTCTGGGGCAAGTGATGCTCTGTCTTCTTGGTGCTTGGGGGGGGTCAACAGTGGGAGGGCTTCTAATGTCCTGGCCCCACTGCTGGACCTCCTGATGGCACTGGTATTTCTGGCCACTGTGTGACACAGAGTGTTGGACTGGATGGGCCTTTGGCCTGATCCAACATTGGCGTCTCTTATGTTCTTATGTTCTTAAACCACTAGGCCATTCAGGTTTGACCCAGAGCATATCACTGATGAATATACAGTGGAGGGGGGGGGGGGGGGGGGGGGGGGATGCTGGCATCTCCTTGGCACAAGTGGTCTGGAAACATCTACCCTCCCTCCCAAAGGAAAGGCGGCCGTGCCAGGCCCCGCAGGCAGCTTCCCCTGCCTGCCCACCTGCTGTGCCCCGCGGGAAGCCACGCCACCCTTCCCCTTGACTGGACCCGGGGAATCTCTTTCCCCGGGGCTCTTTCCAGGACGTGCCTGCGCAGCGCTCCTGTCTGGGTGCTGAACGCTCCAAGGCAGGAAT